AGTGACATCGGTGAGCTGGGTGGGATGCCATAGCTGCTGACAATGCGGTCTGCCATCCCTCATTGCCCCTACAACCCCTACCCCATGGAGGGGAGCCCAGGGAAGGTATGAGCGGTGGAGGGGGAGCACAGGGAAGGTATGAGCGGTGGAGGGGGAGCCCAGGGAAGGTATGACCGGTGGAGGGGGAGCCCAGGGAAGGTATGACCGGTGGAGGGGGAGCCCAGGGAAGGTATGACCGGTGGAGGGGGAGCCCAGGGAAGGTATGACCGGTGGAGGGGGAGCCCAGGGAAGGTATGACCGGTGGAGGGGGAGCCCAGGGAAGGTATGACCGGTGGAGGGGGAGCCCAGGGAAGGTATGACCGGTGGAGGGGGAGCCCAGGGAAGGTATGACCGGTGGAGGGGGAGCCCAGGGAAGGTATGACCGGTGGAGGGGGAGCCCAGGGAAGGTATGACCGGTGGAGGGGGAGCCCAGGGAAGGTATGACCGGTGGAGGGGGAGCCCAGGGAAGGTATGACCGGTGGAGGGGGAGCCCAGGGAAGGTATGACCGGTGGAGGGGGAGCCCAGGGAAGGTATGACCGGTGGAGGGGGAGCCCAGGGAAGGTATGACCGGTGGAGGGGGAGCCCAGGGAAGGTATGACCGGTGGAGGGGGAGCCCAGGGAAGGTATGACCGGTGGAGGGGGAGCCCAGGGAAGGTATGACCGGTGGAGGGGGAGCCCAGGGAAGGTATGACCGGTGGAGGGGGAGCCCAGGGAAGGTATGACCGGTGGAGGGGGAGCCCAGGGAAGGTATGACCGGTGGAGGGGGAGCCCAGGGAAGGTATGACCGGTGGAGGGGGAGCCCAGGGAAGGTATGACCGGTGGAGGGGGAGCCCAGGGAAGGTATGACCGGTGGAGGGGGAGCCCAGGGAAGGTATGACCGGTGGAGGGGGAGCCCAGGGAAGGTATGACCGGTGGAGGGGGAGCCCAGGGAAGGTATGACCGGTGGAGGGGGAGCCCAGGGAAGGTATGACCGGTGGAGGGGGAGCCCAGGGAAGGTATGACCGGTGGAGGGGGAGCCCAGGGAAGGTATGACCGGTGGAGGGGGAGCCCAGGGAAGGTATGACCGGTGGAGGGGGAGCCCAGGGAAGGTATGACCGGTGGAGGGGGAGCCCAGGGAAGGTATGACCGGTGGAGGGGGAGCCCAGGGAAGGTATGACCGGTGGAGGGGGAGCCCAGGGAAGGTATGACCGGTGGAGGGGGAGCCCAGGGAAGGTATGACCGGTGGAGGGGGAGCCCAGGGAAGGTATGACCGGTGGAGGGGGAGCCCAGGGAAGGTATGACCGGTGGAGGGGGAGCCCAGGGAAGGTATGACCGGTGGAGGGGGAGCCCAGGGAAGGTATGACCGGTGGAGGGGGAGCCCAGGGAAGGTATGACCGGTGGAGGGGGAGCCCAGGGAAGGTATGACCGGTGGAGGGGGAGCCCAGGGAAGGTATGACCGGTGGAGGGGGAGCCCAGGGAAGGTATGACCGGTGGAGGGGGAGCCCAGGGAAGGTATGACCGGTGGAGGGGGAGCCCAGGGAAGGTATGACCGGTGGAGGGGGAGCCCAGGGAAGGTATGACCGGTGGAGGGGGAGCCCAGGGAAGGTATGACCGGTGGAGGGGGAGCCCAGGGAAGGTATGACCGGTGGAGGGGGAGCCCAGGGAAGGTATGACCGGTGGAGGGGGAGCCCAGGGAAGGTATGACCGGTGGAGGGGGAGCCCAGGGAAGGTATGACCGGTGGAGGGGGAGCCCAGGGAAGGTATGACCGGTGGAGGGGGAGCCCAGGGAAGGTATGACCGGTGGAGGGGGAGCCCAGGGAAGGTATGACCGGTGGAGGGGGAGCCCAGGGAAGGTATGACCGGTGGAGGGGGAGCCCAGGGAAGGTATGACCGGTGGAGGGGGAGCCCAGGGAAGGTATGACCGGTGGAGGGGGAGCCCAGGGAAGGTATGACCGGTGGAGGGGGAGCCCAGGGAAGGTATGACCGGTGGAGGGGGAGCCCAGGGAAGGTATGACCGGTGGAGGGGGAGCCCAGGGAAGGTATGACCGGTGGAGGGGGAGCCCAGGGAAGGTATGACCGGTGGAGGGGGAGCCCAGGGAAGGTATGACCGGTGGAGGGGGAGCCCAGGGAAGGTATGACCGGTGGAGGGGGAGCCCAGGGAAGGTATGACCGGTGGAGGGGGAGCCCAGGGAAGGTATGACCGGTGGAGGGGGAGCCCAGGGAAGGTATGACCGGTGGAGGGGGAGCCCAGGGAAGGTATGACCGGTGGAGGGGGAGCCCAGGGAAGGTATGACCGGTGGAGGGGGAGCCCAGGGAAGGTATGACCGGTGGAGGGGGAGCCCAGGGAAGGTATGACCGGTGGAGGGGGAGCCCAGGGAAGGTATGACCGGTGGAGGGGGAGCCCAGGGAAGGTATGACCGGTGGAGGGGGAGCCCAGGGAAGGTATGACCGGTGGAGGGGGAGCCCAGGGAAGGTATGACCGGTGGAGGGGGAGCCCAGGGAAGGTATGACCGGTGGAGGGGGAGCCCAGGGAAGGTATGACCGGTGGAGGGGGAGCCCAGGGAAGGTATGACCGGTGGAGGGGGAGCCCAGGGAAGGTATGACCGGTGGAGGGGGAGCCCAGGGAAGGTATGACCGGTGGAGGGGGAGCCCAGGGAAGGTATGACCGGTGGAGGGGGAGCCCAGGGAAGGTATGACCGGTGGAGGGGGAGCCCAGGGAAGGTATGACCGGTGGAGGGGGAGCACAGGGAAGGTATGAGCGGTGGAGGGGGAGCCCAGGGAAGGTATGACCGGTGGAGGGGGAGCCCAGGGACGGTATGAGCAGCGGACCTGTTACTGTGTCCTGAATGGGTAAGTGCAAAAACTACTAGCTAACATACACAGTGTGCACCAAGTTCCTCCTTTAAAGAAGAACTTTGAGCAAAGCCTTGTTCTTAACCCTTACAGTGGGGCTAGCCGCCCCCTCCCCCCACACTGCAAGGGTTAAGTGCTTGTTTTTGTCTAGGTGCAAAAATAACAAAGTTATACTCCCCCATAGCTTGCAGCACAGTGTTACAGCACGGCCTCTGGCTTGTCTCCTGCTCCGGTTCAGCAATGGTATGTCCCTCTGTGTCCTCAAGGCGGCTCCAGGGATCAAGTATATCTTTGTTATTTAAGCACCTAGGCACAAATGAGCACTTAACCCTTACAATGCAGGAGTAGCCCCACTGCAAGAGTTGAAGGGTCTGGACATATGCTCATATATTTTGTTAAACAGCCCCATGGGCTGCAGAAAAAAAACTACTTTTGGTTCCCCCATCCATGCCAACAGTATTAGAACAGAATCCCCCCCGGGCTATTGTATTCTGACATTAGAGGATGTGCAGCTGCCAGAATATCTGAGCAATGACTGCAGCTGATTGGCCGGCTGGCACTGTTCGGTTAAACCTTTTCAGACCGGCTTCCTCGAATAGTGTAAAGCCCCATTCTGGCCCTTTCTGGGAGAGTGAAAGAGACATGAATAATATCTGTGGCTGTATACAAGCTACTAGCAGGACCACATTGTGGTTGTAAAAAGTTCCCAGCCTTGTATGGGGTAGCATGGAGAAGCATGGAGGCTTCACTGAGGGCCCGTTCACACTGGTGCGTTGGGGGCAATCAGTGCTAAAATGTATGAGCATTGCCACTACGCATGCTATATGTGCGGTGCCATTCACTGTACAATAGAAGACAACACATGATTGCACCATCATTCTCAAAAAGGGTCAGGCACGTTTTTTCGGCTATTGGCAGTCCGGTCATAATGAAAGGATGTCTTAGCGCAGCTCATGTTAATGCACCAGAACGGATCCCTTCACTGTGAATGGGCCCTAAATCACCCACCAGGAGGAAGTATACAGACGAGGACTTCTGACTTCCCCATCTGAACACTTGTTGCAGCTCAGTGACTGTGAAACTACTAAAGTCAGAGTCAGTATAAGGTCTCGTTCACACCTAGGCGTATTGCATATGAGCGACCGTCGCGCGTTTTTTTACCGCGATTCGTGGTAAAAAAAAGTTGCACGTTTCCGAGGGCTTCTTGGCTGTATCCCAATGGAAACGCGCAACAAAACGGCCCAAAGTAGTACCTGTACCTTTTCAGGCGTGGGCCGTTTTGTAGCGCGTTAGGGACGGGCGGAAATACGCCACGGTGGGAACGAGACCATTGAATACAATGGGATTTATATTTTTGAGCGTTTTGTAGAGCGTTCGTCGAGCGTAGAACAAGCTACAAAACAGTCAGGTGTGAACGAGGGCTAAAGGTCAGGCAACTAGCATTGTCAGATGTAGATCAGCAATGCCGGCACTGTATGTCATGCCCCCTGTACACCATGGAAGTCTAGGTGCCCCATGCATGTCATGCCCCCTGTACACCATGGAAGTCTAGGTGCCCCATGCATGTCATGCCCCCTGTACTCCCTGGCAGGCTAGGTGTCCCCCTGCAGTCTCTGGCAGTCTAGGTGCCCCCTTTATGACATCCCCCCTGCAGTCCAGGTGCCCCCCTGCACTCCCTGGCAGTCCAGGTGCCCTCCTGTGCGCCCTGGCAGTCTAGGTGCCCCCCTGTGCACCCTGGCAGTCTAGGTGCGCGCCGGCAGTCTAGTTGCCCCCCTATACTCCCTGGCAGTCTAGGTGCCCCCCTGCACTCCCTGGCAGTCTAGGTGCCCCCTGTATGACATCCCCCCTGCATTCCCTGGCAGTCTAGGTGCCCTCCTGTGCGCCCTGGCAGTCTAGGCGCACTCCCTGACAGTCTAGGTGCCCTCCTGTGCGTCCTGGCAGTCTAGGTGCCCTCCTGTGCGCCCTGGCAGTCTAGGCGCACTCCCTGACAGTCTAGGTGCCCTCCTGTGCGTCCTGGCAGTCTAGGTGCCCTCCTGTGCGCCCTGGCAGTCTAGCTGCCCCCCTGTGCTCCCTGGCAGTTTAGGTGCCCCCTGTACCCCCTGGCAGTCTAGGGGCCCCCTGTACTCACTCTTTGAACATGGCCTCCATGTCCTTGATCTGTTTTCGGGAGAACTCCTTGAACTCGGTGTAGGGGTTGAAGATGTGGGTCCGGTTGGCTGGCACCGCGGCGCCCGCATTGATGTCATTCCTCCGGTTCAGTTTGGCACTCAGCTCGGAGTCGGCGTTGGATGTGACAGGCTTCTCCTCCGTGCCGTTCTCGGGCTCGGCTGCATCTCCATTGTCCGCCGGCGGCTCGACTTCTTTCAGCACCAGGCGGCGTTGCAGCTTCTGGGCCAGCTCGTTCTCTGCCATGGGAGCCGAGGAAAGGACGCTGAGCGGGCGGGAGGAGAGCTCCGAAGTGCTTACAAACTTCCAGCAGAGCTGGGGATAAGAGAACGGGGAGGAGCCGGGAGGGAGGAGAGGCCGGCACTGCCTGCCCTCTGTGTGTGACTGTGTGCCTGAGAGACAGGTGCACCTCCCGGGACAGCCTGGGACTGACTGAGGAGACCCTGGAAGTGGCGGCTACACCATGACTGAGGAGGAGACCCTGGAAGTGGCGGCTACACCATGACTGAGGAGGAGACCCTGGAAGTGGCGGCTACACCATAACTGAGGAGTACTGATGTCCAGTTCATGAACGATTCGTTCTTTTCAATCGATTCTTTTCAGTGAACTGGAGGAGTCGATTTATCTGACTGAACTGATTCATTTGAAACAGCTCAGTATGGAATGTATAGGAGAGCCGCACTTGTAATATAATCCTAGAGTGAGAGAAGTCTGCTGCTGACAGCCCTTCCCTGCAAACAAATCAGAACTGAGAACCAAGCAATTACTAGTACATTGTCCTTCCCGGGAGCTGCCCGATACGGCCGTGCACGGAGCTGTACGTGTTGGCTTTTTCTCGTGTGAATGAGGCCTTAAAGAATCATGTGAGTCTACTGAGTTAAAGAATCATGAGTCTGCAGAAGAGTTACTGAGTGGCACAATCCTAGGAGTCTCTAGTAGAACAGTACATTGAATCAATGGTCAGGTTGCAGCAATGGTTTAAAGAGGTTCTAAACCCTCCGGTTTTTTTGCCTATATCTAATGCTACAAAAAAAGTGAGCCGGCCTCAATGCGATGCAGTGCGTTCTGGCCAGAATTGGGCCGGAACGCACTGCCTCTGGTGTGAACGAAGCCTAACACTCTCACTCGAATGTTTCCAATGACACCTAAAACCTGTGATGCAATCATCTTTTACATACATGCCCTAAACATGCTAATTCACATGCAGATGCTAGGGACAACAGGGAGGTTTTTGTTTTTTTAACTTAACTTTATTAGTATCACACAGGGGATAACGAACCCCTATGTCATAGCGTTTGGGGTTGACAGGTACTATTTAGATCAGATCACTTCTGGTGACGCGCGATCAGCTGTGTTAATGAAAGGTGGCTTAATGCACATGCGCACTGGATTCTGATCAGCTGACGTCACAGCTAACATTGGTAGACATCAGATTTTTCTATAGTGTTTACAGCACAATAACGATTTGATTTTACTATCGTGGGTGCTGCACCCATGATGGTAATATCTGGTGGTTATTCCTGCCCATGTGCTGTAAAGACTAGGGACAAATCTGTTGGCTACCAATGTTAGCTGTGATGTTAGCCTATCAGGCTGCAGTATGCATGCGCAGTAAACAACTTTTCATTAACATAGTTGATCACGCGTCACATTGGCTGATCTGACAATATGACTGACAAAACCCCTGTGACATCTCTGAGCCAAGGCACTACCTCACAGATCACAGAAACGTTCTTCTCTTTTCTGATTCGGGTCTTTTAGTAAGGTTCATCATATAGCTCCTGAGCTTTGGCTCACTTGCTTCTCAGCAAGTGAACCGAAGAACCGATTCATTTCAAAGATCCGAACTTCCCAACTTTACTGTGGAGACCCTGGAATAGTGATGTTCAGTTCATGAACGAATCATTCTTTTATTGATTCTTTTCAGTAGGGTTGCACAGATACCAAGTACAGTACTCGGTACAAGTACGAGTACATGTACCGATACTTTTAAACTCCAAGACTACACTAGAGACAAATTCAAAAATTATGAGGCAGCTGTCATTTGTAAGGAGCACATGGAGCTCCTGGGATTTGTACATCTCTGTTTTAATGTACGATTTTGTTTTTATAAATATAAATAAAGGGATGCACAGATACCAGTTTTGCGAGTACGAGTACTGGTACTTGCCGAGTACTTACAAGTACGAGTACTGATACATTTTTGTTTATTGTCATGTGACAGTTTTTCTAAAACAATACAGACTAAAGATTTCAAGACAGTGGTGGAGTGCCAGAGCCAGGTCCCAGCTGCAACCGCTGCAACCCTGGTAGTTCTCATGAAAATGCCAAGTATCTGCACTGGTACTCGAAAAGTATCGGTGCATCCCTACTTTTCAGTGACCCGGAGGATTCGATTTATCTGACTGAACTGATTCGTTTGAACCAGCTCAGTGTTAATGAATAGGAGAGCCGCACTTGTGATATGATCCTAGAGTGAGAGAAGTCTGCTGCTGCCAGCCCCTCCCTGCAACCAATCAGAACTGAGAACCAACAACTGGGTACAAACTGACCAGAGTTCTGAGTCAACAGAACACCAGTACACTGATTGAAAGAATCATACCAGTCTCCAGAACAGTAACTGAATAAAATAATCATATGAATCTCCAGAACATTAACTGAATCAAAGAATCATATGAATCTCCAGAACAGTAACTGAATCAAAGAATCATATGAATCTCCAGAACAGTAACTGAATCAAATAATCATATGAATCTCCAGAACAGTAACTGAATCATATGAGATGCCAAAAGAGGTACTGAATCAAAGAGTCATATGAGTCTCCAGAACAGTTAGTGAATCAAATAATCATATGAGACTCCATGACAGTAACTGAATCAAAGAACCATACGAGTCTCCAAACCGTTACTGAAACAAAAAAATCATGTGTGATGGTGCCATTCATGTCAATGGCAGCGCAGACACGCCTCCCACCTGCAGTGCGATCGCCCGCATGAGAACATGTGGTACATTTGCACCCTGCGTTCCAGTCGCAAAAAATAGTGCATAGGTTAATTTGAATGAACAGTTCGAAACAAATCGATTCATGTCAAAGATCCGAACTTCCCATCTCTACCCTTGAAGTAGCCGCTACACCCCCTGACTGAGGAGACCCTGGAAGTGGCGGCTACACCAGGACTGAGGAGACCCTGGAAGGGGCGGCTACACCCCAACTGAGGAGACCCCGGAAGTGGTAACTACACCCCAACTGAGGAGACCCTGGAAGTGGCGGCTACACCACGACAGAGGAGACCCTGGAAATGGCGGCTACACCCCAACTGAGGAGACCCTGGAAGTGGCAACAACACCCCGACTGAGGAGACCCTGGAAGTGGCGGCTACACCACGACAGAGGAGACCCTGGAAATGGCGGCTACACCCCAACTAAGGAGACCCTGGAAGTGGCAACTACACCACGGCTGAGGAGACCCTGGAATTGGCGACTACACCACGACTGAGGAGACCCTGGAAGTGGCGACTACACCACGACTGAGGAGACCCTGGAAGTGGCAGCTACACCCCAACTTAGGAGACCCTGGAAGTGGTGTCTACAACTCAACTTAGTAGACCCTGGAAGTGGTGTCTACAACCCCAACTGAGGAGACCCTGGAAGTGGCAACTACACCACAACTGAGGAGACCCTGGAAGTGGCGGCTACACCACGACTGAGGAGACCCTGGAACTAGCAGCAACACCATGACTGAGGAGACCCTGTAAGTGGCGGCTACACCACGACTGAGGGGAATGTGCAAACTGCGGTTCCACTCCCAACTGAAGAGACGCTGGAAGTGGTGGCTACACCAGGACTGAGAGACTGAGGAGACCCTGGAAGCTGCAGCTACACCATGACGAAGGAGACCCTGAAAGTGGCAGCTACACCACGACTGAGGGACTGAGGAGACCCTGGAAGTGGCAGCTATACCCTAACTGAGGAGACCTGGAAGTGGTGGCAACATCCCAACTAAGGATACCCTGGAGGTGGTGGCAGCAGCCCGACCGAGGAGACTCTGGAAGTGGATGCTACACCATCACTGAGAGATTGAGGAGTCCCTGGAAGTGGTAGCTACACCACGACTGAGGAGATCATGGAAGTGGTGGCTACAGCCCGACTGAGGAGACCCTGTAAGTGGCGGCTACAGCCCAACTTTTATCTTACGAACATGCTACCCACCGCCGAATATCGTACGATGGTCGGTGGGTTTTCAAACATGTTCGTAAGCTAAAAGTCGTGCGACCTTACAGTAGTAGAGGTTGCACGGCTTCCACACACCTTACGATAATCGTAGGATCGTGGGATTTCCCGCGATTATTGTACGATTATCGTAAGGTGTGTGGGCACCCTTAGGCCTGGTTCACACCTGGGCGTTTTACAGAGCTGATCGACACGCTGTAAAACGCCCAGCAAGTGAAATCCCATTATTTCCTATGGGCATGGTTCCCACCTGGGCGTATTTCAGCGCGTAGGAACGCGCTGAAAAACGCCCTATGCCCAAAGAAGTACAGAAGCTTCTTTGGGGCGTATTTTCCACGCGTATCCATTAGGATACAGCTGGATAGCCCTCGTAAACGCGCGTTTGTCGCTTGTTTCATTGACTGCAAATTGCAGTAAAAACGTGCATCAAACGCGCATATTACGAACGCCCAAGTGTGAACCCAGCCTTAGGGAAACACAGTACTGCTGTGTATAAATAAAAAATTAATAATAACTGGCGCCTGGGTTGTTAAGCCAGCTCCCACCACTGGGGTCCACAGTACAGTTTTGGATGGGTGGTGAGCTGAGGCATCGAATGCACCCCTCTGGTTGACTATTACTCGGGTTCCATGCTTCTTTAGCCCTAGGCTTGGTCAGGAAACAGTCGCTTACATTAGGTTTCCTTCTTTAGCAATGGTTCTAGGCTTAGTTAATTTAGGATCCCATCTCTCACCTGAGGCCCAGGTGAGGAATAGGTGCACACACTTGTGTGCATGTGAGCCCAGGAGAACCTTCCCGGCCACTCCCCTCCATCAATCAATCATCACTCATTCCTGAATCGGCTGCTAATTTCACACATCCTGGGTATTGGCTGTCCCATTCTGTCTCAAAGAGACCATACGACCATTCCAGCATATACAGGTGAAACTCGAATAATTAGAATATCGTGCAAAGTTCATTTATTTCACTAATGCAACTTAAAAGGTGAAACTAATATATGAGATAGACTCATTACA